TCACAGAAAATGTAAAGTGGTGACTATTTAGGAGTTAATAAAAATCAGGTGATGGAAATGGATAACCGATGTGTTGACAATGCTAACAACCAACTACCAAAGTTGGATTTCATCAGCTTCAGTGAACCACCATAGAAATAGCACTGTATTGATTGGCATTACAGTGAAAATATTCATTCAAAAAGAAATAGAAATTGTTTTACTGAAGTCTCTAAATCTAGTACGAAACAGTACAGTGGAAATTGACAGGTTCACCTACTAACAATCCTTTTTTTTTAATTATATAGAATTGAACCAAATCATGAATCAGATAATCATGCCTCCCACACTATGATGTGCCTATATCTGAGTGTGTGGATAAAATGGCAATAATAAGCAAGCACAATCCTTAGATTGTAGAAAAATATAAATATAAGAGGGAAGCAGGGCAGGCATCAGCAATGGTGATAGATGTCAGATGCTGATATCACTTTTGCTGGTATTTGATTAGTCACAATAGAAGAGAATATATGTACTCAGGTTTGAACTGTAGAGCAGTGCACTGGTGATAGTAACTAGTTGGGTAATGAAACACCCAAGGAAGGAAACATCTAAACTCAGAGAGCACCAAGGACTCTATAATTAAAAGTCACTCTTTTATGGAATTAATATATCCTAGAATTTAGGAAACATATTGCTTAGATAATGGGTCTCTATAGCAAGAGTGTCAAAGGATCTCAAATTGTTGTTAGTTGCGAAGTCACGTCCGACCCATCGCAACCCCATGGGCAACATTCCTCCAGTCCTTCCTGTCCTCTACCATCTTCTGGAATCCATTTAAACTCACACCGACTGCTTCAGTGACTCCATCCAGCCATCTCATTCTCTGTCGTCCCATTCTTCTATTGCCCTCAATCTTTCCCAGCATTTGGCTCTTCTCCAGTGAGTCCTTCCTTCTCATTAGGTGGCCAAAGTATTTGAGCTTCAACTTCAGGATCTGGCCTTCTAAAGAGCAGACAGGGTTGATCTCCTCTAGGACTGACCAGTTTGATCATTTTGCAGTTCAAGGGACTTGCAGGAGTCTTCTCCAGCACCATAGTTCAAAGGCCTCAATTCTTTGGTGCTCAGCCTTTCTTATGGTCCAACCTTCACAGCCATATATTGCAACTGGTAAAACCATAGCCCTGACTATACACACTTTTGTTGGCAGGGTGATGTCTCTGCTTTTTAATATGCTGTCTAGATTTGCCATAGCTTTCCTCCCCAGGAGCTTGGTTGGTTTCTTGGTTTCTTGGTTGCAGCCCCCATTAGTGGTGAACTTGAAGTCCAGGAAAATAAAATCTGTCACTACCTCAATTTCTTCCATTTCCACTTGCCAGGAATTGAGAGGGCCGGATGCCATGATTTTAGTTTTCTTAATATTGAGTTTCAAGCCAACTTTTGCACTCTCCTTCTTCACCTGCATCAAGAGGCTCTTTAGTTCCTCTTCATTTTCTGCCATTAGAGTGGTATCATCTGCATATCTTAGGTTGTTGATATTCCTCCCAGCAATCTTAATTTCTAACTTTAACAGTGGTTGCCAACTGGTGGGCCGCAGCCCACTGGTGGGCCATGAGAAAATTTTGGTGGGCCGCAGAGAAATCTCACCCCCAGAGCACCCCCCCAAAGCAATTAATCCAGGCTGCATAGAAACATAAGGCTGTGCCACCCACATGGCCCTCGGGAACCCTCCCCGCCCACTCACTCCTTACCCAGCAAACTTGCATGCTAAATTGCTATTTTTCCAACCATCAGCTGTTCTGCTGTGCCAGGAGATTTAGATTAGCTAGGAAGCAGGAAATGGTTGGATTTATTGCTTTCTAGTAGTCTTTAGATCTTCAGCTCTGCTTTTAAGCATAGCCGAACCTCCCTTAGGACTGAAGGTTCTATTATTCAATGCACTCGCAGCAAGCAAATTTTATGTGAGAGACTGAGCTAGACAATGACAGATAGATAGATCACTGAATGATTCTGAGAGCAACTCAATCTGCCTGCCTACTTTGCCTGATTTTGGGTAAAAATTGCTCTTTTTTATATAAAAAAATCCAATATTTATATAAATATTTATAATATTTACATACAAGCCATGCCCAGCCAGTGACATGACCACCGAACCACACCCACAAATTAGGCCATGCCCACAGAACTGGTTAGTGGTCCCTGGGATTTAAAATTATGAGTTTGGTGGTCCCTGAGGTCCAAAAGGTTGGCGACGCCTGCTTTATAACACTCTCTAAGTGGCTTACAGTCTGAGCATATTGCCTCCAACAATCTATGCCCTCATTTTACAACCTCAGAAGGATGGAAAGTTGAGTCAATTTTGAGCCAGTCAGGATCAAACTCCTGGCAGTGGACAGTTAGCCTGCAATATACTACTGCCCCACCACAGCTCAGTAATAGTAGTAGTAGTAGTATGTCAGAGTGTTTGCAGCGTGACTATTGTGAGACAATCCAGGAGCAAAAGATAGGACACAGAGGCTTTGTCTTTTAACAGTGGTTTATAGACAAGACTGCTATATCCATACATATACATGTTAGGCACATACCAAGCAAGCAAGCAATCTTCATTACTCTGCACGGAGAACTACAATGGAGATGGAACATGAGGAAAGAGAGATACACCTTCTCATAGCCTCCCTTATATAGACAGCTTCTTAAAATTGCAATAAACCTCCTAACCCAACATCTGTCTTTAAATGGCAATAACCCTGTTGACTCATCGTTATTGCATCAGCATCCTCACAGCAGCTGGTCAGCTATTAAATCTTCAATACCTTAACATAGTGGTAGTAGAAGTAATAGTATTGTATTGGAAACGTAAGTGTATGGCCATTTATTCAATACTCTAGATTGAAGACATTACTGCACTTGCCATTACACATACCAACTTTGTATAGGTATGTATAAAGAAATATCGGACTCAATTATACAGAATACACTGGGTTAAAAAAGATGTATAAATGTATTAGAAATACATACACACCTAAATATTTGCATTACAAAAGTATATATATAAACTATTTTATGATATATTTTTTTGTATTTCACTTTAAATTTTTATATTTCTTTTTTCCCCTCTCTGACTATACACCATCATCACTACTTCTTTATGTTTTCCTTTTTTTCCTTTTTTTGCTATTAATTAAAAAGCGTGTGTAGAAAGGTAGCACCCACCCCCTCGTAGAAGAATGAAATATCCTAGGAAATATTAAAAAGGCAAAAAGGAGAAACATGCTCTTGGAAAGCACCCCCACCTTTGTTAATAGCCCCAGAAAGACAGCCATCCTATCTACTAGACCAAAGACGATTAGCTCCAGGGTGATAGGATTAGTCCTCACTCAGATCCAAGCCATTAAGCCATAATAGGAATTGCCCAAAGCGTCTTCATTACACCACCCAGCAAGATTCAACCAAGCCTGGGACTCAAGACAACCTACAAAGTTACTTCTGCATGGCCCCATGGGAGTCTGACAACCAATCAGGATACATTTCTTGCCACAGGAACAGGAAGCAAGTTCAATAGAGGAGTCTCTCTCCCTCTCTCACCCATGTGCTCAATTTTGCCCAGGACCTCAAACCATGTGGTCCTGCTGTGCACCATTAAATCATCCTTCCAGTCTTCATATTTCCAATGTCTTTCTTCCCACTTGGAACTGAACCCAGATGGACATTTCTTCCAACATATGGAAATATTTTTTTAAAAAATTCCAGTGAATTGTGAAATTTGACAGTCAGACAGAAAAACATTCATCCCACTATGTTTCTATGGATCCTTTCACATTATCATCCTTTTTTCACAATAGGTCTGTCACAATTAAAATAAGTGATATTACCTCCTAGAAGTTCTGGCTTTCATTTTATTAGTCTGTTCAATACTCACTTTGCTTTAGCACAACAGATAAAGCATTCACTTTTAAGCTCTTTTTCTGCTTCCTTAGTCAATTGTCTGAGGCTGGAATGTTACAGCTTCTTTTTGTGATGTCTCTGGCTACAGGGAGCAGACAATGAAAAAGAAAAATGATACTTAATATTATCCCAAGCACATTTATACTACAATGTCAAATGAAAGTTATCAGAATGTTCATTACTCAACTAAAAGATTGAAAGCTGAGATTTTATGAAAATGAAATATTTAAAAAAATCTGGAAGATATGAGATTGTGTACTTGTCACCAAATTTTCTCCCCAACATCTGCCTTTGGTTATAACTATCCTATGGAGTATAACAACTATCTATAACAACAATTAGTATAACAACTATGTTTGGAATAACAAAAGCTGAAGTTTTCTCAAAATTTTATCAGCAGGTTCAGAAGAAAAAAGAAAGCTGGACAGTTCCATCTCTCCTGCTGAAGGCCAGCTTCATTAGCTTGCTGTTCTGTATCCAGCTGATCTTTAGAGTAATCATTTAAAAATTGTATCTCAAATTGCTTTTCCTTTTTCATACTCCTTTCTTTTTTTAATACTTTTTTGACAGTAAGTCAGTAGCTTTTTGTCTCCATATCTTTTTGTAGCTTTTTGTCTCCATATCTTACTAAATATAATTTAGTTTGGATTTAGCATGCTGTGTGAATCTAACCATCATGTTTTTTAAAGTATCATTCATAGCTTGTGTGATACATGAAGCCAATCATCTTAAGGCTAAACAAACCAGGGGTTAGCTAAGGTATAAATCAGAAAAATACATATATGCTCAGGAATGCATAGATTTTCAATTCGTTTTTTTCTAACTATTCAGAACTCCTTGTAAGACAGGTTAGACTGAAAAAAGTGAATGGCTTTTGAACTGATCTGATTTCGTTAACGGTGTAGGACGCTGCAGCCCAGGACACAAAGGAGTATTTTCAGTGCATTATTGGTATTTTAGGGTGATTCCAACTGAGCTGCAAAAAAAAAAAAAACAACCCGACGAATACTATACCAAACGGAATACTGAACTAGCGACCTTATGTATGAAGAAGCCACGGTGTAATGTGAACTTACCGGATCTTTGTACATTGATCCTTGGCCAGAGCAAAAATGTAAAAATATGTAAACGCAGAAAATCGGGTCCAGTATTTTAGGAATTATCGCTATTAGCAAACCTAAGTAGATCGATTAACAGTTGACGACGCTAGAGCGACCATATATTTAAACATCTACAGATAAAACACGATTTAGAGAAAACTGTAGCAGAGTTGGAAAGTTTCCTTTTGTGCAATTACAAAAAGAATTCTGGGCGACTGCTCGAATTGTGTAAGAAGGGATTGCGTAACCAGAGGAAAAGAGTAGAACAAGCGTCAGCTCCACCCACAACGGACCAAAACTAACTGCCGCGTCCAATGGAGAACGCCGAAGTGACGCCACGCATTTTTCGACGTTTTCAGAGCAGAAGGCAGCCGGCCGGTCGTTCCATAGTGGGGCGGGACTGAAGAGTGACGCGACTGCTATCGGGCGGATCCCGTGATGGCTGGCAGTGGCGCTGCTGCTGCGGTTGCTCTGTCGCTCGCTGCGCTCCCGGCAACTGCTTCAGGAGCCGTTCTCGGTCGCCGCAACAGTGCTACCATGACCGACGACAAGTCCGCCGAGTCCGCCAACGAACGGTGAGTTAAGAAGGGTGAAGTGAGGCTATAAGCCGGTTGGCTGGCGGTGTCACCCAGCGCGCCATTGAGAGGCCCTCCCTCGTCGGCCGTGATTGACGCGACAGTGATACCAGATGCTCGCTGGCCTGGCTTTTAGTCCTAGAAATGGAAACTTGCCTGCTTCCGTAGTCGGCACGCGTGTAGACTTCTCTAGAATGCATAATTCCTATTTTGCCCCACAGTCCCCAGGATTTTCTTGGTATAGCTCTTCGCTTTATTCACTGCTGCTTCTCCGTGTGTTATTTATTTTATTATTTATTTGTTTATTTGTCAATCGCTTGCAAGATAATAGGTATAAATATAAACATGAGTATACAGGAAATAGGTACGAATAAATGGGGACAAAAGGACAGGGACGGTAGGCACGATTGTGCACTTATGCAGAAATAATTTAAAAGATTACAAGATGACAAACCTAATCTGTGTGTGTGCTTCACCCTAAACTAAGGGCTGAGAACAAATTCGATTGTTTGGGTACAAATTAATAGATAGCTGTAATGGAGATGTGCAATTTAAAGCATTTTAAGAATAGGAGAATGTATTCTCACAACTTTGGATTGTTGTTGTTTTCTGCCCCGAAGCAGCAGTTCCCCAATTTGCTTTTTTTAAAAAACTTTTCAATGTTGAGCATTCACCCAGAGAATAGCTAAAGGCAGCCAATTTTAGGATTCATTTTAGCAATCATTGCCTCCACTCCCATCCCTAATATCTTAAAAAAAAACAAAACAATTCTCTGTATGTAACTGTATCCACAAACACAGAAATTTGACTTGACATGCAGGTGTTTGCCATTTTATATATCTACTTGCGCTTTTTTCATCTATATATTTGCTGTTGTTTTTGTCCATTATGAAAGAAGTCTTCAGTGTTTTGGCACAGCTATTACCTAATATGGGTTGCATTATTTTTATGTGAAATAATATTTTATGGAAAATACCTGCATAGTAGGCAGATTTGTTGTCATGTGATATAATTTTTAATGTATGTTTATGTCGGGTCTTCAAACTTGACAGCTTTAAGACTTGTGGACTTCAACTCCCAGAATTCCTCCTCCTGTCATGTTAGCTCAGGAATTCTGGGAGTTGAAGTCCACAAGTCTTAAACTAGCCAAGTTTGAAGACTCTTGGTTTATGTCATTGTGTCGTTCAGTCATAGTCACATAATCAGTTCCATTTTGGCAAAGTCATATTTTTAAAATTCTGTAGATTGGTCTTTGTATTCTTTTTGTAATATGACCTGCATTAGATTTCAGTGACAAGTACAGGGTAACTGTAAGAATAAGAATAACAATATTTCAAGAAGCTTGGTAGTAATGATGAGTCACAGAGACCCACATACCAAAGTGTAACTTTGGTTCCAAATGTGTTTGGGAATGCAACTCACAAAATTCCAAACGGGAGCTAGACTTTGTGTATAGTTCACGTGGGTGGTTTAGGTCAATGGCAGATGACAAGCATTATTAATAGGAGTGGGTCCTAAGTAGAAATAGGGGGAAAAGTGGCAGATATTCGTAGCAGATAGTCTTATATCTTTATAAAGATATTCTAGATAAGGAAGGTAATTTAATAACAGCTATTCCAATCCATATGTACACCTTTTTATAATCTCAATGAAGTTTTATTATGATCCTTAAATCAGTGGTTGCCAACTGGTGAGCTGCGGACCACTGATGGGTCTCAAGGAAATATTGGTGGTCTCCAGAGAAATGTCCCCCCCAAAGCATCTCCCAAAGCAATTAATCCGGGTGCGTGGGAACACAAGGCTGTGCCGCCCACATGGCCCAGCCACCCACCAGCCCCCACCCTTCAGCCGAGCGCAAACCTTACCTTAAGTAGAGTCATGCAAGCTGGAACTGGGAGGTAAGACCAACAGCAGGGGATGGAAATCCGCCCTGGGGTGGCTTGCTGACATTGGTGGGAAGGTTGGTCCCATATTCCAGAGCTGCACCGGCCTATTATGGATGAGCAGCTCCAGGATGACCAACGGGCCAGTATTGTGACTACTGCAGCTCTGGAATATGGGACCAGCCTGTGGTGGGATTGGAAATCTCTCATGCCACCCCGGCATGTGTAATGTGCAAATTTGCAGGTGGTGCAACGTGCAAAAAGCAGCACAGCCCTTGCCGGCCAGGACAAGGTAATGGTGCTGTTGCAGCAAGGGGGGCATAGTTAAACCACCACATCTCTGTTCCGAGCTGAGGGTTGCAGTCAAATTCTCTGCTTGGTCAGTGTTCTGGGAAGACGTGGCTCGGGGATAAAGGGGCTTCCCTCTGTGCGAGCAGGTGAGTCTGCAGGGCACTGCCCAAACTGTTGTCTGGGGCTCAAAGGCCCTCTTCCTCCAGCCTTGGGAGGGGCACCACTTCCTACCGTGCCCCCCTTCGGGTAAGCCCAGCCGGATGCCACATGTTGGGTCTGGTAGCAAATGAGAAAATGCTGTGCCCTCCCTCACTTCCTGCAGGGCCTGTTGGCAAAGCATCCCTGTTGTGCATCCGCTGCTGCAGTTGGATGCATGATGGGAACACGCTCCACGTGGGAGACACACTGCATGCCCATTGTGCTGAGCCAAAGGCACTGGTGGGCAGGGGAGCAGCTGCAGCCGGCTGGCGAAGTGATGTCGGTAGATGGACTGACGCGTGCAGGGAGGGGAGCGTGTGGGAAATGGCAGTGTCAGAACCCTCCTTGGCTCTTCCCCAGAGCACCTCGTACCAGCCAAATCCCCTTCCCTGAATGCTGCCACCGCTTCCCACTGTGCTTGGGATGCTTGCAGCAGCACTTCGGACAGGACAGTGGCAGCAGTGGGGGGTGGGCTAGCGAGGTTTCCCAGAATTCTCCCTGGCTCTTCCCCGAAGCGCCTCATACCAGTCGAATCCCCTGCCCCGAATGCTGCCATCACCACTCCCCACCTTGCTTGGAACATCTCCCAGGGACAGGAGTTTGGCCAAGCTACCTGCAAAATCCTCTCTCTCTCTCTCTCTCTCTCTTCCCTCACTCCCTCTCGGAGTGCTTGCAGAGAGAAGCAGCCGGAGTCACTCTCATCTCTCAAGAGCCTGGCTGAAGTTTCTTCTTCTGAAACCACTCCTCGAGAGATGACTTTGCTTGGTTGAACTCCTGTCCCTGGGAGTCAAAGCGCTGAAGTGTGAGTGCTGCAGAAAACGGGCCATATCTGGCCCAGGGGGCGTATGTTTGACACCCCTGTCTTAGATGAATTCTCATCAGAGAAAAGAAGGACAGTAAGATTAGGGGAAGTATCTATTGTCCTACAATTGATGAAATCCCACAGACTGCCAATGATAATGGGACAGAACTATATAGTTTTCACTATTTAGAACTTTCACCCACAGCATCTGTTCTGAAAATGCCCCATAAGTCACAGGCCATGAGTGATAGAACAGCTCCAAACCAATGCAGGAATAAAGGCTTATTCACGAATTAGGAATTTCTCCAGATTAGACCTTGCTCCCTGAGGCTTAATGAATGTCAATTGAAGTTGGGTGGAGTCCACTGCTACCTTTCCATAAAAGCCTTAGACAAAGACAATTAAACAGATTTATAATCTTCCTTTATATGAAATTGCCCAGACAAAATTTTATTATTTTATTATTGTTACATTTTATTTATTCATTATAAAAAAATTTACAGGACACCTAAATACACAATAAAACCTCACATGTGATTAATTAAACTATCTTTAAACTTAAAGAAAAAAATAATAGAAATGAAAAGACATAATCCTCTAAAAAAAGAAAGAGAAAAAAGGTTAAAACGTGTGTGTGTGTGTGTGTGTGTGTGTGTGTGTGTATGCATGTGTGTATGTATGTATGTATGTATGTAGTATACTTATCAGTAGTCACTGATTTATTAATGTACCATAACTATAATCTGATTATTACAAAATATTATTACACAATATCACAAATCTCATCCATAATAGTGCATAATATATTTCTTCCTTTTTAGTAATAAATATTGCCTTTAACAATATTAAAAGCGATATTTAACATCACACATTTCTGAAAGTCTTCCTTTAACGTAATTCTTGGGTGACTCTCATGCTTCAGTATAACCATATTTTCTGATAAAAAGTCACATTTTGAAACATATTTTCTGATAAAAAGTCACATTTTGATTATAGTTATGGTACATTAATAAATCAGTGTATATAGTAGTTCAATATCACCTTAATATCCTTAATATTTAAAGATTTCCCCTAAATCTACTTAAATGTTAGCATGCCAAAAAAACATCAGATAATATCAGATGGGATGCTGAACCCTCAATTTTTACATCTCAAAACAGAAAATCTGATCAATTTTTCTTAATCAGATATTAATGCTGTTCTTGATAGTGATCCTGCTCCTGCTATTTCCGATCCCTGGATTGGACTTCGACCATTCTTGTTATTTTTCTGATGTGTCTTTTGTGTTCTTGATCTTTGTTTAGAAGACGTATTTCTTTCTTTTGGCTCTTTGAGTAAGACATGTTTTTAATATGGTCTTTTAAGGCCTACTAGTTTCTTAAGAAAATTTCCCTCCTTTTTTATTATAAAGATTGCAATTCTCTTACAGCAGAATGGCAAGAGGATTGTTGCTGCATTTGACTGCATTTAACTGAAAAATCTACTATTATATGTTTAGG